TGGATCCCATCCGGCCCCATAGACTTGTGCATGTCTAAGTGGTGTAGCAGGTTGCTAACCATTTCCCCTTGGATTATGGGAGCTTCATTCTGCTCCCTGTCCCTGTCTTCCAGCTCAGGGGGCTGGTTACCCCGAGAACAATTTCAATCCGTAGTACAGAAAAGACATGGTTAAGTGCACCTAAGTACTTTATGCTGTTCAGTTTGAAAGCAGGCAAAGTTGAGCTTCACAGGGGCACTCGTTACTACTTTTCTTTTCATCCTGATTCCTAACCATACTGTCCACCCCTTCCATTGCCTTGAGGAGTGCTTACTGGACCTTTGGTTAGGCTGATTAAACTCACTAAGCCATCAGAAAACTGTCCACTTTTTTCTGCCCTCCCCCTCTCAAGTAAGTTGTTTTTCTGCTGTTAGTCACTTGAGGGTTGGGCTGACTGAGCTGATGAAAGGTCCAGCCAGTAGCAGAGACAGCACAAGCAGGGGGAGCCTCCAGACAGAAGCAGGGAGATAGGGTAAGGGGAAGAAGGAGCCAGTAAATAGTTAAATCCTTTTAGTCTGTCTGATACACCTTCATCCTTGTAATTGTATGGAACTGCAGTTACGTGATTTTTGGTGTGACTTAGGCTCCTTTGTACTGATGGACCAGATTTCCAGGGTATTTAGGTACCTGACAGAGTTAAGTGTGTAGATCACTTTGAAAATCTAGAGGTCTGCTTATCTTTCTAGGTTAAAAAAAACCCCAAACCAAAGAAATCTTTATTAACTTTCAGATACAGGCCTGTAGTCCTGATCTATGGAGAAGTTTTTGAAAATGTTATAGTATGTCTGGAAACAACACATAAGCAACAATCATTTCTGAAGAATAAACCTACTAACCTAATTATTTTATGTCAAATGCTAGCATTGCATAAAAAAAATTAATAATGTTTATTAAAGATCTCCATCAAAAAGTGAATGTTTACTTTTTTTTGTAGAATGAAGCTATGCTATTTGTTGCCAAAAGTAAAATCTACTCTGAAGATTCCCACTGACAAACATTTACTTCAACAGTTGGAATTATGTATAAGGAAACTTTTGTGTCAAGAGAAAGACAAAGATGTCCTGACTATTGTAAAAAGAGTAAGCATTTTTCTTTTCCAGCAGCATTTTGTCTTAGGGTTGTCATTAAAAGTTAAGATGATTAAAGTTATGCTTTCTGTTGATTCTCTTAATGTAAGAACAGGAGACTAAAGAATTCTGTTGTCTATTATGTAATTTTGAACAATTAAGAGAAGATGTAGTATAGTGCATTCTGTCAAATTTAAGAGAGTTGGTGTTTCCTTGGTTACTTATATTGCAGTTATTTTCTAGTGACTGGGATTCAGGATCTTGGCTTGATGACCATTTGTGAAAAAATAGCAGATGACTAAAGATAGGATTAAAGGTTGACCCTAGTAAAAATGATCAAGTCTTTGAGGTAGAGGTATCTTGTTAATCCGTTTATTTTACAATGTACAGACAAACAATTTGCAGGATTTTGAAATGTTACAAATGTCTTTGTAATGTGAATATTCAAGAAAAAGTACATCTTTAAGGGATGCCCATGCTTAGTCTCAAAGAAGCCATGAAATGAAGTAGCTAAAGTAGATGGCTTCTTATAGAGCCTGTCTGCAGGAGAGATTGGATGAACACCTGCCTGGAGCATCCTGGCTTATTCACAGATTCCTGAGTTGTTTTTTCAGTCTTGGTTCCTAGGTCCATGCTCCAGCTATGCATGCTTCTATGCTTTCCTTGACTGTATTTTGAGTTCCATATAGATTAGTCCTTCATTGTGAGTCTCAGCAGGGCTCCGAGAATACTCTGACAGTTTTTAACTGCATTTGTAGCACAAAAATACAAGCATAGGCTTCAAATGTTTAGGAAGAAAAGGTATGTTTAATTTTGAATACCACTTTTCTGAGCTGCTTATCTGGACAGTTTTTTAGTTAAAAGTGTGGCATGCTGTTGAGTATGGATAAATAATGTTTTGATTTTCTTTATAGACAGTGTTAGAATTGGACAGAATGGAGATCTCTGTAGATGCTGTAAGTACTTACTAACTTAAATACTTACCGAGTACTTTTAATTCCCATTTTCATGTAGTGATTTTTTTATTTTTATTGATTTTATTTTGAAGTTTCAGAAAAGATTTTATGAAAATTATTTATTGGATCAAGAAAAAGAGGGACAAGAACATGTCCTTTTGGAAATGGTATATTTCATCAGTGCAATCTGTCCTTTTTTTAATAGTTTGTAGCTAAATATTAATGAGGCAATAATGTTAATGTAAGGGAAGTGCATATTATGGAGAGACCTGGTAGGTTCATAATCTGTGTGTGGTTTCATTTTACACTTTTCAACAGGGTTAAGTCCTTCAAAGTAACGTATAACTTCCTTTTCTTTACTGCCTAAATTTTGTTCTATCAATTAGAAAGGCAAACTGAAATTTCTTGAAAAGTACTCAAGCTTGATGCCTCTCTAGTTCTAAAATCCCAAGCCCTTCAGTACACCTTTATGAAATCTTTTTGAGGGAGCTTAGCAATTTGTCAGGCATGTATAACATAATAAATTGAATAGTGAAACACCTCAGAATTCACATACAGCTTCCATAGGCAAAGAAATTAATGTCGCAACTGCTTTTGTGCCAAGGAAGCTGAAAGAGGCTCTGTGTGTTACGAGCTTTCCTGTTAGCCAGAAAAAAAGGAAGAAAGGAAGGCCATTTGCATCTGCAGCCTGGCAGGAGGGAGACTCAGTGCAGGTTGTATAGAGCAAAAAGAGCTACAAGTTACTTAGGATTTAGAAGAGAAGCCTGCAGAACACTTTTCCAACTTATAAAACTATTTATCTTCAGTCATGGCTGTAAGCAAAAGCTGCAGCAGGTGCTTCACCACATAGCCTACTACACTTCACAAAGCCTGGATTAGATTACTGCAGTCCTCCATTCTGCTGCCTCCTCTCCAGCCTGAGGTGGGAGAAGCTGAGAAGCTGATAGGATTTCGTAGAGGCCGAATTTCATTAGCACAGTTCCTCTGACTTGTAGGAATTGAACTCCTCTGTAGAGAACCAGAACAGGTTCAAGACTGTCGAAAAAATGTCACTTTTTCTTCTTTGGGATTGCTGCAGAGCTATGTTTGTGGCCCACTTTGATATCAATAGGTACTGCAGGCCTTCTCTTGAGCAGTTGATTTTCTTAGTTCATGATACCGGTCTCATGTACTTCCTGCCACCTCCCATTAGCTCGAGCCAAAGGTTCAAACTTTGTTCTTAGGACCTGCATACACATATTCAAAGACTTAAACTTAGTTTTAGCAGTTTCTAGGTAGATACAATTAGTGCTTTTATAGTGAAAGCATTTGGGGCTGTGGTAAAATAGCCTCCGGTGCACTCTGTGTTATCGTCTATTGTATGATAACATTAATTTTGACCCTGTTTCTACAGCTAAACTTCAGAAGAGCATCTGTATTTTTATGACATATCCCATTGATATGAGCATACCTTCTGTATCACAAAGGTCTTATTAAGCATTGTCTGTGAGAGGCATGCTCTTGAGGAACTGGAGATGTACACAGTGAATTGTGACATGTTGCAGTCCCAAATAGATGAGGAGCCACTGAACCCAGTTAAATGTATGACTGCTACAGATTTTAATACTGAATATGTTAATAAGTTTCCTTAATTTTAGTAATTGACTTAGTAGAAACTATATTCCAGCAACCTTGACCTGAATTAGTTACCTCTTTTTTTCTTTTTTTTTTTTTTTAACTTGGGTAGTAATTAGAATGAAATGAAAAAATAGAGTAGAACAATTATGGTTCTCTTGGCACTTTTTATTATGAACGTAGTACAGAAAATAAGCTAATATTATGTAGCTTTTTGAAATTGGAGTGTTATCTATTCACCAAGAATCCTGAAGCAAGTATTGGCTTTTGAAATTATTGATATAGCTGTGTTAACATTGTGTTCTGTCTGTGGATGTGCTCTCAAAAGGTGTTCTAAGGCTAGCTAATATTACAGAAAGGCAAATAAATTCCTTAAACTTGAAGAATTGTAATACTTGGGTTTGCTTTGCATAAAGGCTTATCAACTGTAGATGTTAATTTTAGACCTTTAAAAAGTTTGAGCATATGTGACACACCTTACCATTTGCAAAAAACATTTTCATTGAATTGTATGTTTGAATTAAGAAAGTTGCCAGCTCTATTATCAGACCATCTGTGTAGCACAAAGATTTTACATTGTCAGCTGCCAATTTCTGTATCTTTTTAACTAAAAAAAAAAAAAAAATCCAGGCATAATTTTAATACTAAGTTATAAATGCAAACTTCAACTTTGAGGTTCCTTCATAATTAAAGTCAACATTTTTTGGTGTGATTTTTATATAGAATATGTACCTTGATTTCATTCTGTACTATTTAATTGGTTCTCTGGATATTCACTAGGAGTTGTACTAGTAGCAGGAGGGAGTAGAAATTAACTGTTATTTTGGTGATTTGGAAACAATCCCTAATTGAAACACAATTTATTTAATTTTTTCTGAGTAATACCTAAGAAAATTATTCATTTTTTTAGGAACAATTAGAAAAAGAGAAGCAGCAAAATGAAGGAAGATCTACAAATATTAATGACAAAATGTTTGAAAAGAAGCGTAAGTTTGTTTATTTGTGTACATATTGTTTGTGCATGCAATACTCTTCTACAAAGGTGAAGATGGGTGGACTGTCCAGTGGGTGAGGAATTGGTTAGATGGTCGCATCCAGAGGGTAGTGGTCAACGGCTCAATGTCCAGATGGAGATTGGTGACAAGTGGCATCCCGCAGGGGTCCGTCCATATTGGGACCGGTACTGTTTAATATCTTCATCAGTGACAGAGACAGTGGGATCGAGCGCACCCTCAGCAAGTTTGCAGATGACACCAAGCTGAGTGGTGTGGTCGACACGCCAGAGGGACGGGATGCCATCCAGAGGGATCTGGACAAGCT